AACCACCAACAAAAACAAAACAAAAAACACAAACAACACAAACAAACAAACAAAAAACCCCACCTTTTTCCCTGGAATAATAAGCACTTTTTATTATAGTAGGTTTTAAAGTCTCACTTGTCATTCTAGCTCTTTCTTTACACTAGCTTTTTAATTGAGTTATGTGAGTACTGAAGAACTAATTAAAAAATTATCATGTGATCTCATTGGGAAAATATTTCTCTTCAGAGGAAGGAGGTTTTTAATTAAGCCTCTTTTGATGAAACAGTTTTGTGAATATAACAATGTCTGAGTACTTTGCTATTTAAATATTTCTTGAAGTAATAAGGTAGAAAATTTGAAAATAAAAATGGAAGAAAATGCATCAGTGAGGATAACTGAGGTCTGGAACTGTGAATATTCTCTGAGTTCAGATTAATTACTTCATCGCTAGTTAAACAAGTCCCTAAAAACATTAATATTTAAAGGTAATTAGGTGCACTGAGAAAGGCACTCGGAGCAGCGCTAGTGAAAGTTCTGGAAGTTATTGATCCAACTACGGTGACCGAGGGAAACTGTAGAGTAAAAAAATGCTGCCACGCTATTAATATATTCTCAATTGTTGATTAAGGGATATATATTTATTCAGGTGCTATATTTTCATTTAAATGAGATCCTAACCAGCTGTTTGCAGAAATGACACTGTGGGGAAGAACAGGTAAGGGCAATGAGTAGGGGATGGGGGAGAGGAATGGAAACACCAACAAAGGAGCCAGGGGGAGAAAGGAGCAGAAATGTTGTGAGCTTCTTGCAGGAGCAAATCACTGAAGTATGTCACTAATAGGGCATGAATTTTGACAAGATGAGAAACAGGCACAATCCCTGCAATTGGACATAGGAGATAGGAGCTGGCTGTAAAAGCCCTGGAGGCAGTCAACATGGCTGGGTCTTTATTCCCAGGGACTGGCAGGTTTTACTGGAAGAAATCGCCCCTGAGGCATGTCTTCGTATGACCTTGCCTAATTCAGTTCCAATTAGAGGCTGAGGAATTACAGGGAAAGATGTTCCTTCTGGGTCCTTTTGGGGGATAGTGAAATGGGCTATATGGGCTGAGTGAGAGCCTGTGCCGGAAGAAGCAGAAGGATCTCGCTAGTGGGAAGATTTCTCATCATAAGGTGGAAGGAAGAGGAGGTTTGCAGCACGCCTGTCCTGGTCATTATGCCCTGAGCTGTTGTGAGTGTCCTGCTGTAGAGCGCTGGAGGGCACACACCAGCAAATAAGGGAAGGGCAGCTTTCTGTCATAGTTTCCCTTTGTTAAGGGAATGGGCGTACTGTGTGAGATAGCACATGCCAGGGTGAATAACACCACACCTAAAGGTTCTGGAGAGACTTTCAGCCGGCCAGTTCCTGCTTCTGTCCTGTCTAGCACGTTGCTCTTTTTTGTCTTTCCTGTCTTCCTCAAACATCAATACCAGGTCTTCTCTCTCCCGCAGTGACAAACATAGACTATAGAAACTGTGGTTATTTGTATGTGGATAAATACTGCGTAATTAGAAGACTACTCCGTTGACTCTTGGGCCTGGTGCTGTCAAAAGCCCACTCATTCCCGTGTATTACAAGGTTCTGAAACTGTGTAGCAATCACTAATAATCTGCAAAATAATCAGCATTAAAAAACTGAACCAGGAAGGTCACCTATCGCAGCTGTTTATTCTCACTTACTTAATGCTGAAACTCTCTGTCCTGAGCTGCCACGTAGCTAGAGAACCAAGTTAAGCTTATAATCGCATTCTTATAACTACATTCCTCTCAGCAGCAGCCTTCTCACAGTGGAAAGCTGAGTCTGCTAGAAATATATTAACTAAGCTGTTTGCTGCCATATCTGTCATATATACATTTATGAAGTCCTGTACAGTTGTTAATTTTAAGTAATGGCAATAATTTTATTGTCTGTAATGCTGTTAGGGCTGGCAGAGAAGTAGCAGCACAATATCAGCCTTTGTTCACTCCTGTGAAGAAAAGAATGTGGGTTTAAAGCAGTACTATAAAATGGAAGTGGCTTATTACAGTACACAATGTTATGTATTGATTTGTATAAGGAGAGAAGACCAGTACTGTGTCAGGGAACTGTGCCGATGTTTTTCTCCACTTGAAATAGCTGGATACCTCTTCCTGCACCAGCTGACAAGGAGCAAAGAGGAACAGGGGAATCGGGAGCATCAGTAGGAACACTCCTGCTTATAGAAACCTGTGTGGAAGATAAGCCAGGGAACTTAGGTGGGTAGGAAAAGCCTTCCCTTTCTCACATCCATTCCCTGGGTGGCTGCCTCTGTCTTAAGTCGGTACAGCGCTGAAGTGTGTTGTAGATAAGATCTAATCTTTCTTCCTAGTGACAATACCTTTATTCAACAACTCCTTTTGCCCACCCTGATACTCTGAGAAAGTTAAATCTGTGCATGAAACATTTTGCGTGGGCTCGGTAGCCTGACCCACAGGATAATACCTCCGGAAGTCTGCAATAAAAAGCCCCTTTCCCAACTGCCTCCGCAAACGGAGACAAACCTCTTTGAAACAGGATCCGTGAGCCCCATGACTCTGGTTACTCAGCGTTGTTGGATGGTAACATACTGCAGCTAGGGAACAGAAGCGCTTCAGGCTTCCAGAACTTGTGCAGTAGTGGGTCCCTCTCCTGCCATTTAAGGCACTTGCTTGCATTTCTATGGGTGTTCTTTCTTTCTCTCTTTCTTTCTTTTAATAAAAACAACCTTCATATGCCGAACAAACTAAAAATCTCTTAAGTAATGAAGCACGATTTATAACGTCATTCTGAGTAGCTTATGACAATCAACTGCATGGTCGAGTCTAAAAAATGCTATGCTGTAACCTACAGGCTTTCCTTTCCCGAGCTCTTCCCTTTTCTGAGCTTGCTACTGAATGAAGCCGAGGAAGCAAGAACAGGGAAGGGAAGTAACGATGACAACTTCGGAATGGTTTTACATTTACTCCCACAAGCTCTCATATTTTTGATTGCAGTTGTAAGATTCCTCCTCCCTACAAGGCTTATGCATCAGCATAAACATTTATTGCACAATATTAAGTAAACAGGGTTTTTTTTTTGGGGGGGGGGGGGGCAACCCCTTTATAGGAGTTTCCAACTGAAGCACATGAAAGCGCTGCTGAAAGATGATGATACTGTGGGACATTCAGGGGGGGGGGGGAGATGGTGGTTTTCTCCTCTCTGTAAAAAAGGGAATTAAAGAACAAAGAAAACCCCCATAAACCACGCTCACACATTCACAGGAGCCTTATCCATAAAAAGAAGGTATCTATAATACAGTAGGGATGAAAAATATACAATTCTGTGAAAATTGCTAGCTTGGGATATTAATTTTATATGATGTTATTCCTTCCCATAAATGCAATGGGTATCTATCTTCCTTCAAGACAGGTATAAAGCTTTGAGATATAGCCCATTTGTTTTTCTGTTCTCTTGAATGTTTTTTTGTGTGTGTGTGCCTGTGACCGTCGTTAGCAGCAGCAGTAGATACCAGCATTGGTTGCAGCAGTTCTCAGCTCCGGGCCAGATCCCATAATGCCTTGAACGAACATTAGTACCACAAGCAGCACAGGCACCACTGTGGGACTCCCTAGGCGACGCATCCAAAGAGACGCCTGGTGTACTTTCCATTAGAATGAGAAGCTGTGAATGCAAACACTGAACAATCGCTCACGTAAGCGGACAACTGAAAAGCGGCTCGGGACTCCAAAACCTTTCATCAATTCATGAACTGTGGCTTCCCATATTTTTATCCTTACAGGTAGCAGGTGCCCTGGAAGTCTATTTTGCAGAGTCCTGGTTAGACTTCTAGCAGCTTGCCTACACTGCTGTTGCAAGATAGGTTTCCTAAATGTATTTTTAATTTAGTTCTGGAACGAATGCTGTACTTCATTTAAAAAAGGAAAAGAAAGTCTTATTTTCCCAGTCACCTTTATTTCACTAGAAAAGTATAAATTACCATCATAAATACAGATATCACCAGTATAAAAATTAGATTATCATTTATAAAATAAATATTAAAATAGTCAAAGCAACAGGTACCTCCAAATCCCATCACCAAGATGATTTGAATCTATACCACATAAACAATTCATTTACCATTTAATTAAAAATAATGTTCAAAATGCAGTAAATACTGCTACCTACTCAGTGCTTGCATGAAGTGAGTTACTACTGACTCAAAAACTGCAAAGTATTTGTTCTAACACTGACTTGGAATCTTCAGACTACCCTGTCTGTATAACTCTAGGTGTAGTGTAATCCAGATATGCTTTCCAGATGGATAGCAGCTACCTACTTCAAGAGTGTTCCTTACAAGCCACCAGTACAGTAGTTTCAGTTTGTTTACCTCTGATTGTCTATATCCAGAGATAAATAGACCAAGTTAATTCTATCCAAGAAGTGCAGAAATCATAGTAGCATCTTTGTCACATCTGAACTAACAGATCATTTCACCAGTTAATAATGTTAAAAGAAAGTCAGATAAATACAGGTTTTGTTTCATAGAAACAAAAAGATGTTCCTTTTAGTTAGGTAAAGGACACATATTTTTCAAAAGTAGTGTTTTTTTCCCCTCACAAGTACCATAAATCTTCTGGCTCAGTAAGGCCATACTTTCAGAATGGCTGTACCTGGTCAAGTCAAAGGTCCATCTAGTTCAGAATCCTGTTTCAGACAGGACAATAGAAGGAGCTTGGGCAGAGTGTATGAGCAGGGTTAGGATACACGACAGATCACCAGAGTACTTCTCCAGCCTCTGGCCACTAGTGACACAGGAGCTTCCTGATATCGGGATTTTTCATCTGTGACTGCCTAATGGATTTTTGAATCCGCATAAAGTTTGGGCTTCAAAATTCCTGTATCAGAGAGGCTAAAAGGCTCCACCCAATTACCCAATTTATGTTTTTTGTTGTGTTTTTTTTTTTTCCTTTGGAACTGCCACTAGTGTCCACAATAATTTTTCCTTAGACACCATTAAGCGGTTCCTTTTCTCTTGCAGCTTTTGTTTTCTTGCGTTTACACAGGATCACTGATAGGACAATGGCAAAAATGATGACCGCAATTGCTATCACTGCTATGATGATAAAGAGTTCTGCTCCGTATTCTGTAAGGGAGGAAAAAAATTCAAGATTCAGTGATCAGAAACTATAATGTCACAGTGTTACAAACTCTTAGAACCCACTCCACTGAACTAAAAAATGCTTTCTGTATTTTACAGTATCACAGAAGTGGAGTGACCACCTGTGTGTGAACTGAATTCATTTTAACGTGAATGTGTTGAACTGAGGCAAAGCTTTATTCCACCTCGTTCACACTGGGTTTTAATCTAGTTCAGTTAGTGCGCTAAAACATCATGCCATCACCACAAGAATAAGTCAAGCCATTCACCCTACCCCTGCATTATTTCTGTGAAACTAAGTCCAAGTGGAAATTTATTCTAGGTTAGAAGCTAGAAAACACCAACAGAAGAGATTTCTATTCAAGTTGTAATTTACTAGAATTCAACTATTGTGATAAACAAAAAATATATCTAGATAAGAAAGTTAATTTGAGAGAGTTAATTTGCCAATTTTAGAAGAGCTTTTCTACTTAAAGTGCAAATATTCTTGTCTGATGGAGAAGAAAGATACAGTACAACAATGCGATATTATTTAATGAATATTGATGACTTTATATTGAGGAAAGTGTTATCCAGATTGTTTGTCTGGAATTAGACTGACTGATTCACCGACCACTATCTAACTTATTTACCAGCAAAGAAGTCAATCTGCCAACATCTGACCTTGTAATGTAACGGTAAAGAAAGTCCAAGTCTCATTACCTGCTTTTGAGATAATAACTAAAGTTCAGTTCAAACTACAAGTCAATGGACATGTAGCACTCCTATGTTTCAGAGCTAATCCTTCAAGCACTTACTATGGGACCTGTTATTGAAAGGATCTGAGAAAAACAATCAGAAAACAAAAAAATGAAGCTGAAGGCTAGTGATGAGATCTGAAACCTCAGTGACCAGTCATCAATTCAGACAATTTAAGACTAATCAAAACAGTTTAGCAAAACCCTAAAACCAACTCCAACTAGCTAAAGATGGTGGACTCTTACTTAACGTGAGTTCTTCCCATAAGTTTCCATGTTCAGTCTGTGTCCTCTCACTTACACAGCAAACAGTTTATTCTATAAGGGGCATCACAATGTAAAGAGGTATAAAAATATACTAAGAATTGAAGTGTCTTTTTGTTAGAATGCTAACGGCTGTATGACAAACTTCACCAGATACTTACCATCCAAGAGACTTCTTCCTACACTGGTACAAAGCACCATGCTTTCTTGACCATCACGATTTTCTCTGCGGGAGGGAATGATTCCCTGTATGTAGAAGCAATAGTTCTTTGTGCTGTCAACGCTTATCTCAAATCTATCGCTTTTTGTTGTTGCATCTTTCTGTAAAGGGAAAAAAAATATTTCAAGAAAGTGTCCTCTGCAAAAAGTGCTAGCTCTTAAGGTAGCACAGAAATCGTGTAGCTATAATACAGCTACAGATATGTAAAAAGCAGAGTTAGACCTTACCTTTCCAGAACTTTGATCTTTCCAGTAATAGAGTTTGTACTCCAGGTCGTGTTGGAAAATATCTCGAATACTTTTAAAGCTTCCGTTAGGAAATGTATATGGTGTAAGTGGATCTTGGAACACAATATTCAGTTTGGAACCTTTTTGTGTGTAATTCTGTATCTCCGGTTTTCCGAGAACAGCTAAACAAGCATATTTAGAATTAAAAAACTGACATCACCTTTTCTACACAACATGCTCTTTTTTCTTCCTCCCTCCACTCCCGCCCCTTCTCAAATCTATTCTAATTTTACAGAGCCAAAGTGATACAGAGAAATCCTGAATTATTAAAAACTATCTTCATTTAGTACACAATGTTAATAAAGTGGTCTATTCACTGAAGTGAGAAACAAATGGTAACTAAAACCTTACACACTCCCCTACAACAGGGAAAGCTTTACGCCTGAATGTCTTCTTCTCAGATATCGGTATGGCTACTGTAAGAATCTATAGGAAAAAACTTTAGGCCCAATCTAAACCTCGTTTAAGTCAATGGAAGTAATCTTGAAAGGAAGTTTATGATAAGATTTAACTGGCAATCCTACTTACTCTGACTATAAGGTGTAAATTTTTCAGAGACTGCAAAAGGTGGTTCTTCAAAGTTATCCATCTCCGAGGACGTTACAGACAGTATGTGTGCTGTATAGGTCTCTTCTACATTCCTGAGCACATCAGTAACATCGCACTCTGTTTCTGCTGTCAATACGCATTTTTTTTTAGTGTCAGATGCCTGTCTGAAAAGAGCAAGAAAGAAGAGTCAACACTTTCCAACCAGACTTTTACATTTTTTCCCCTCAAACTGTATAGATTTCCCTCATCCAGTAAAACAGTCTTTCAGGTGTATTAGGCTGAAAATGAGAAGGAAAAAATACTCAAAACCCACTATCCTGTACAGCTATATTTCACAATTCAAAGTAGAATCAAGTGAATCAAATATGATCCATCTTAATTACAGAAATGTGTTATTGGATACATATATAACTATATATGTATATATATATATATATAACTATATCACAGATCAGTTAGTGGTAGTGTCCTAGAGACACCGTGAAAAGGGACAGAGGAGATTTGATCTTTGTGACCAAACAAACGTACCCTGTAAATGTACATAGATGAGAAAGCAAACATTTAAGCACCCTTCATCCATAAGAGCAACTTGTCTAAAGAAATGTGTCAGTATCAGAACTATACCTGATGCTATACTGAATCTTGGGCAAAGAGACTTCAACTTTTTTGCAAGCACAAATGGCTTGAAAGAAACTCCAGATTCATAAATTTCATAAAATTCATTCTGCTAGTGCATGCTTTTAAGTCTATTAATTTAATCACTCCCTTAAAGAATAAAAGAGCACATTAGGCCATTGCACTGGTATTTCATCCATTAGTCATAAGAGAGCTCTCATTTCAATGCCACTGTTACAGATAGAAGAGACTACAGTACCATACTTTCATTAATATGTAGGAGAGCTGATGATGCAGTTTCCCTTTGGGGCATGTTTAATAATGGTATGTGAATTAATATAGGAGCTAAGAACAGCACAGATTTATTACTGAACTTCATGGAATTTTTTGTGCGGTATTGAAAGACGTGTTAGACACTTCACATAAGCTGGCTACGAAATAGCTTAGATAAAACACGATGACAGAGGAAGTCTTGATGGAGGTAGATGAACAAAGGTAATTTTTACTATTAACCAGCAAGAGGAATTATTCATTTACTGTGATTCACCAATTAGAACAAAATGCAGACTCATATTTATCAGACCCCTCCAAAGACCACAGACAAAAGACTCAGTGCAGACACCTCGAAAATCATAAAAAGGCGAAGTTCTGTCTAATACATGGTATGCCAGATTGAGTGTCCACTTCTTCAAAGTATCTTGGCCTAGATCTCCAGTGCAGCTGGCCTGCACTGAACCCCAGAACTGAAATACTGATCTAAAGCTCAACTCTCTGTTTCTGAAGGGGGCAAAACCGGAAGCCTGAATCAGATATTCTTATAGTTGGATACAAAAAAGTATTAACAGCTGGGTTGGCAATTTTCCTAATTCCTCGTGTTTGGGCTCTTTCCCTGTTACATTCAGTCTCAGAAATATTCAAACACACTCTATTTGCATCTTCTTCGATTGCCATCAACGGGCACACCTTGGTTATCTATTACTAAGTTATCTACTTACCCGTGTATTTCTACTGTATAGAAGTAACCTGATGGTTTTGGTTGCCACTGTAGTATAGTTTTAAAATTGATTGAAGACCAAGTTATATTAACTGCTGTTGGTAGTCCTGGATTGCCTTTAAATACAGAAAAGAATGCGATCAGTCATATTATATGCAATTCCTGGCTCCCTGCAGTCACTGTTTAGTTAAATGAAGCAGTTGCTGTTAATTGCTACTTGGACAAGTTCTTTTGGGGGAAAAGGCTTGGTCCTGCCCTCTGGGCTCATGCTCATCTTACTAAAGGAATGTGCCCTGGCAGAAGCGAGAAACACAAGAAGAAAATTATTTTCCTGCTTGTAACTCCTAGGTTGGTGAGGTAACTTATACGGAGTTCTGTCTAATGATTCCTTTTTGCTCCAAGATCTCTGAAGAAGCTACAAAAGCTTGAAGATACTCATGAGAATGTCCAAGCACCAAATAAACGCAGTGTAGTTCAAAATCATCCCCGGCTGTATCTGCTGCAGAAGGCATTTGCTCCTAGTTTCCCCATTTATTTATTTTGGGAAGAGAAAGTCTTTCAAAATCAGTGGTTGCCCTGCACACTTATATCTGAGAGGGGCTACTGCCAGGATGAACTTGTGGCCCGCAGACAAGCGGAAGGGTAGCCACAGCTGTTTTGGGGAACCGCCTGGGAGGAAGCTGGAGCGGAAAACCCCGCTGTAACCTCTGGGAATCAAGTGTTTCACTGAGCGATATCCTAATTATTTTCTAAATACCATCTTCTCTGCCTCTCCGACAAGCTGGGAACTGGGAGCAAGGGAAAGAAATCTCGCCGATCACTCCTTCTTACAGCAGGTCAGCAGCTGCCGGCTCCTCAGACTCCCCCCGGCTCCCCAGCACCGCGGCGGCTATGCTCCTTAAGGATCGCTCCTCAGAAGAAAACAGCCCTTGTCACCCGAGCGCTCCGCCGTCCGGGTGCTGAAGCAGAGTCGGCTGGGGGGCGGCGCCAGTCACAGAC